TTTTCTGAAATAGATGTCAGATCACATCTCTGTACACAAAACCTGCTACCCATATCCCTCTGAGTAAAGTCTAGACTCTCCATAGCTACCCAGAGTCCAGTTGATGTGCACTACTTGACCTCCAAGACCTCTTTTCTGTACTGCACCCTGGACTGGCACCATCCGCTCTGAGCAAAGTGGCTCCCTGCAGCACTGTAAAGTCAAGGGCTGGGGCACATGAAGATAGCAATGAAGCAGGAAGCAGGTTTTACAGCATGACAAAAAGCTTCCCCTTTGATTCCCAACAGCCAGTAAGGTTTTCTTGATAGTGTTTGAAAGATGAAGTGTGCTTTGGGCACAGAGCCTCTCTGTGTGCCTTTTTTCTTTGCCTTAGACATTCTCATGTCTTCCTTCATTTTTCATTTTTCTTCAGTTGTCACATAGGCCTTCTCTGTCCTTTCCCCATTTCCTAAAACACCATCCCCTCTTACTCCTTCATTATAATGAATTATAACACTTCGTTAGACAATTACACCTTGCTGTTTTTCTTGCATAGAATTTACTGCCATCTGATATGTTAGTTAAATGGCAGTGTGAGACAACACCTGGAGAATGAGGCTGAGGCAAATACCAGATTTATTTATCTACAGGCAGACTGAGATCAGAGTGAGAGCAGCAGCTGTCTGGAGGGGAGGCTAAGAGTTTAGAGTCGAGGTCCCAAGCACTTACTTTGGCAGCACATAGACTAGAGATGGGGTCAGAGTATCAATGGGTCAAGGTGAAATGTTTGAAGTCAAGATTGGAGAGACAGATCAGGTGTACGGATAGCACTGGTGCCAGGATGACTGCAGGTCTGGTTCTAAATCCCTGGATGACCTTTGGTTTTTGTTTGCAGAGGGCAAGCCATTGTCAGTAGTGGTCTGCCCTTTGTAGTGGGCAGCCCAGATCTCTCTCTGGTCACTTTCAGTTCAGGCCTGACAAGGATATGTGTGACTTTTTATCTTCTACTGATAGAGCCTAAGCTTTATGGAAATAATTAGTTGGTAGTACTCTCCATTATGACACTTAGAAATCTTGCTGGACTCCCTGTGGACTCCAGTTTACTCTTCAGAGCTTTTCTGGGTCTTGAGGATCCACCTTGCTCATTCTTCTCCCATTCAAGTTGTTGCACCCCAGCATCTGGCCTCCCAATCTCAGAGGCTGGTTCTGTGGCTCACTGCCACAACATCTCCTATTTTTCAAGAGGTTTTTGACACATGAAATGATGTATTAATGTGACTATGTATTAAGTCTTTTTCTTGTCTATAAACTTTGGAATGCTAAATGCCAGGAGTTTAATTGATACTCAAAACTAATATTTCACTTTTCTCCCAGAGGGTTAAGGTAAAATCTTTTCTGTGCCACAGGATGTGAGCTGGTTTGATGATCATAAAAATAGCACTGGAGCTTTGACTACCAGGCTTGCCACTGATGCTGCTCAAGTAAAAGGGGTAAGTGGCTTCTTCCTCTTTATGACTGTATTCATTCCATTTTGAACCTCAGCATGATGGTGATTATTCAGGATAGACAATAGTCATCATCATCACTAAGAAAATATTAAATAGATATCTAATCCACAAGTGGCACATGCTTTATAGCAAAATATTGATTAATAAAACATTACAGTGTGTTGCTATCTTGTAAACTATGTTTTCATATTCCTGTGTTGCTAGTACTATTTATAAGATACATGTAAAGAAATAGTTATTTAGAGAAAAAAGTACTTTTCAATTTATGATTCAGAATCATACTATTAGAGGGCTCAATCAACAGAAATTTGCAATTGCTCCTGAAAGAAAGATGTATGTAGTTGGCTGCAGGAAGCCCATGCTGGGACACTGAATTTTAGAAGAAAAGGAAAAACATTTTTTAATAGGATAAAACAAGTGAAAAGCACATTGAAAATGAAAGCAAGGTTAGAAAGAACAATGTGTTGAATTGTTAATTTTTTTAAAAAAAAGCAGTTCAAATTTATTTTAAGTAGTGTTCATTTTGTTGTTAGGTTTTATACAACGTGACTTAAATGGTGGCTTTTGTGAATGTGTTTGCTTTAAACACAGAGAACTCTGGTAAAGCAACAATTGCTAAGATTCACAATGCCATTTTTCACCTCTCTGTGTGCTTCATAACTTATTCTTACAGAAGTTCTATATACTACACAGAAAAATTAGTAGTATATTAACACCTCACCAGAAGACTAAAATGTGAAGATTAGTAAGGTTCAACGTAGGGGAAGAAGAATAGAGCATATCTTTTTTCAGCTCTTCATTGTTTTGTACATTTTTGTGAGGAAAAGTTGCAAAGACGGAGAACTGGCTTTGAAAGACTTTTCTACTCTTTTTCTTCTGTCAAGTTTTTCAAAGTGTCATTTTGATATAAGCTCCATGGTTGCATCAAATAAAAATCTATGTGTTTTATTACTTATACTATGTCTTTTGGCCCTGCAAAAATATTTGGCATGTTTGTTGTGTATAAAGGCTAATTGTGATTTTAGTATCATTTCCCCTGCCCCAGCCCAAGTATTTAGTCTAGTGATTACATTATAAAGGTAGTCAATGACTTTATAGATGCTAATATGGAAGATTACAACGAATTCTGTCCCAGAATTCAGAACAGATTGCTTTCCTTATTAATCAATGCACCTGCTCATTTGGATGTTGGAGAACGTTTGTTCAAAGCTACAGAGATGGTGGTGGCTATCCTAGATTTACTCTGTCGTCTTTACTCTGAAACAGCCTCAGGGAGCAGAATAAATTTTCAGGATAGAAAATAAAATGGGCCCTTTTCAGACAAAGCAGGTTGTATGGTTAATACATTGTGTCAACTTGAGAAGCTTAGAAGTTCAATTAAGTGACTCTGCAGGGAGCCAGGGTTCTTAGTTGGTAAACATCCTCATCCTGTGCAAGAGGAGGGCATGGGCATGGTGTGAGTTCTACATGCCAAGACCCAGAGTAGCTTGTTTGTAATATAAGGAGGGGCGAGAGGCTGGCTACAAGCCACCACAGCTGCTGCCCTTCCCGTTGCTCTGAGCTGTTTTCTGCTGCTTTAACTACAGCTCTCTGCCATGTGCTTCTCTGCCTTGGAGCCAGCTGAGTATAGACTAAAACCTCCACAACTGTGCACTAAATAAACATTTCCTTCCTTAATTTTGGGTGTCAGGTATTTTGTCCCAGCAAGGAGTATGATTTAACTGAGACACAGGTTTATTGTGATACCTGTGGGATCCACAGCAAGTACTTAGGAAGGCTACAGATTTAGGATTGTCCCATTGTAGAGGATATATGTTGGATTGAAATATATAGTGGTGTACAGAAGTGACTTTGTATATTGACTTCTGGTTTTACAGTTGTAAGTCATGCACAGTAGGTGCTTAATAGTGACTAAATTTAATGTATTTTTTCCAAGTCAATTACAGGTTAAGTACATATAATAAGTATCTCAAAAAGTCCAGGTGTATTTGAATACCTTTAACAAAATCTTCTAATCTTAAATTATAAGTAGGTATATATCTAATATAGGAAATTTCCATCTGTTTAATGTAATTATCAGACTTTATGTTGCTATCTGGCAGAACCCGATGTATTCAACATTCTTTGATTAATAAAGGTTGTCTTGATATTAACAGTAGAACAGAGAAAATGTAACTGAACTCTGGATTACTATACTTTTTATATTTTTTGATTAGTCATGGAGATGTTTATTTAAAAAAAATAAAAAATGTGCAAGTAAATCTTTTCTTTCATAACTGAGAATATAATTCATAGGTTTTAGGGAAAATGAGCTCTCATACACTTACATGTGTTGTATACATGTATCAGCTCCACATAAGGAATATAAGAATTATGTATTTGCAAATATGTGCAACAAATGAAAAAAATAAATAGATCAATGGAGGAGACAGAAAGGGAAAAGAAAAAGGATGGAATAATGAATGGGGTGAATTACGACGTATTATGTACACATACCAGTTTTTCACAAGAATGTAAACATTATGTCCTTAAGGGTGTACTAACGAAAAAGAACATACAAACATGGATTTTATATATAACACAAATGTGTGTCTGTAATTTATTTTTGTTTTTCAGGCTGTTGGTGCCAGGCTTGCTGTCCTTACTCAGAATGTAGCAAATCTTGGGACAGGAATTATTATTTCTTTCATCTATGGCTGGCAGTTGACACTTTTACTCTTAGCAGTTGTTCCCATCATTGTAGTAGCAGGAATAATCGAGATGAAAATGTTGTCTGGACAAGCACTCAAAGATAAGAAAAAGCTGGAAGTTTCTGGAAAGGTAAGTCAAAGAAAATACAATTGCTCTTTTAAGTAGAGAAATATTGATGTTGTTTTGTTACTGTCTGCCACTTACTACACTCTGAAAATATTTTCATAGCCATTCCTTCAAGCAACATTGTTTACACTTGCCCACAGATTAGAAAATAAAAAGTAGCAAAGACGTTGTTAGACTCAAAGATTGACCACACTTTTTAATGGGTTTTTCTGGTTGAAGGTCATTTTACACACACTCTTCACTATTCCCCTGCCTCCTCTTCTTGCTTCAGTTCTTTACTGATTTCGTTTCTTCTTCCTTCTCCCCTTTTGCTTTCTTTCTAATTGTTTTTTTAAAGCAAGCTTAAATCTGTTGATTACTGAGGACAATAAGCCCTGTTATGTGTGGAAAGATTCAGTGTGGAAAAATTTAAGAGTATTTTATTTTATGTGACTTAAATGATGGCTCCTCTTTTACCTTGACCATGCCTTGTCCCTTCATCCTATTTTGCTTTCACTTGATACTTTTTGTCTGCATGCTTGTCTCTTTTTTCCCATTATTTGAAAAATATATGGTGCTCACTGTGTTCCCTGCAAATGTTTTAGCTCTTACCACAACGCTCATGTAGGTTCTCTTGCCACCTTATGGTTCAGTGGTCCCAGGGCCTGAGAGCTGATAAGTTTGGAATTAGGATTACAACTCAGACTATTGTGCTCATGTGAACTAGAAAACAGAAGTCCTCTGATGAGGACATGATGAACATGATGTAATAACATGTGATCAGGATCATGGCGAAGTGAGAGATGACAAGAAAGCTTATCCCATATCTGGTCCTGATGTCTGGACAGGGGAACATCTAGCAGTGGACATTACTGTTCCCTAGAGTTAGGATAGTATCAGGCAGGTGATGTGGCTCTGGCTCTTAACACTAGGTTGAAACGGACCAGGAGGCTCATCAGTGTGCATGATGAGGTAGCTCCAGGAGGTTGTCCCTCACCTCAGATGCTTTGTCTTCTGCATGCCTGCATCTCCTCATACTCTCTGCCCTGTCACTTGCTGGTTCTTCTACTAAAATTCCTTGGACTATCTTTAGCATTTCCCAGACAGTGTCTGTGAGAGGTAATTTTCCCACAGGACACAGGCTCTGGGCAGGATGGGGCTGACACCAACATTTGCTTGTAGTCCAGATAACCTTGGCCCTGATACAGAGTCTATTACTTGCCATTGTTAAAACTTCTTTTAACAATGTACTCTTCGGTTCTTTTCCCATGTGGTGTTGACTCTTTGCCTGAGGTAAATACGGCAAAATATAGGGCAAAAATGTAAACAAGAAAAATCACAGTAGTGTTCGCGAAATATTTGAAATACCATAGTAAGAATTGTTTCTGGGAAAAAGATGACTGATTCTGGTATCCAAGGTTAGCATGTTCAAGCAGTACATCACATACTCTTGGAGTCTGTCAGGGGAATGAAAGGGGTACAGGTGGATATGGGTAAATGTGAATAGGGCAAGTTTTCTGGGTAAACATCAAGATTGAGATACTACCTGTAGTTAAGGGATAACTCCTGAGAAGGATGAAGGTGCAGAGACAAAGTGGTGATTGCTGTACCGACCAGTCTACATAATATAAAAAAATGAACTCCTGTTCTATTCATCTCAGATTATCATTTAGTGAATATTTAGTATTTACTACGTGTGATACTGGTATAGCTCTACATATATTGTCTGATTTGATGGCCTCAAGAACTCTACTGAAATCTCAGCGTTAGTAACTATTTTGAAAATTTGTATCCCAACAAATTAGCAACTTTTGAAGAAAAGGGAAGTTTCATAAACTCATATGAATTACCAAAGCCAACCCAAGAAGAGATAAGTATGCTTAACAAACAAATAAAGAGCAATTGAAATTGAGCCAATAGTAAAGAATTTACTAACTTCTTAGAAAAAGGCCAGGAACTGATAGATTCACTGCTAAGTTACATAAAACCTTTAAAGATGTTAAATCACCAAATCTCTTCAAGCTCTTCAAAGAAGCTGAAAGGGATGGAGTGCTCCTAAATTCACTTACAGAAGACAGTATTA